CTGGTGCACGATTGCAAAAACCCTCACGACCGAGTAGAAGAGAGGTTGGGGGAACAACGCCTTGAAAAATTGTAGGTAAAGTACCCTTTTGGCAAAATCAGACCAGAGGACGAAACATGGCCTAGTCCTTCCTGATGCCCCAGGTCTGGGACCTGAGGCTAGCTTCGATGAACCTACGAACTGACAAAGGCTCACAGCAATAGACAGGGACAGGAAGAGGAGAAGATGTTAGGTTCCCAATGATTTCATGAGGAACTGATATCTTCGTCTCCTCTCGCCTCTCTACTCGCAAATCCCCTTCTAGCACCAGTTGTTGAAAGGGTGACACCAGCTTCGGCCACCATAGACGACCCTCAGAGGGACTTGTGATGGGAGCCACGTGGTTCTACTCGAACTCTTCTCTCCCATCTCCTCGCACTCTCAGCAGGAGGAAAGGGAATGATTTGTGGACACTACCATGAGTGGTTCAAATGAAAGGAAGGCCCATATTTATAGGCCCAAGGGCGGACCGAACAACCTGAGACCCCCACACCACATAGCGAACTAAGGGAGGTCACAACTAATGTCAGATGCTCACGTGAGGTCGAGGAAATCGAGACCCTCGAAAAGGTAGGGACGGTACAACGTTGATGAGACCACTCGGCCCCGCTGGGTCGTGAACCCCGATGAGCAGCACACTGACACGATAGGGCTTAGTAGTCACGTACCACATCGTCAGGTTGTCCTGACGGGGCAAAAGCACAACGGGTAAGGGATCGAGCGACGAAGCTCGGATAAGCCACGACTACAAACCTACGCGCAACGCACACGCATCTCAGCGCTTTCATGATCACTTCATGATCATAAAACACTCGGGGGCTACTATCGGGGTTGTAACCCTAGGGTGTCTCAAGGCACCAAATAGTTAATAAGCCAAGCGGCCCACAACATATCAGCTAGCGAAAGCCTGAACGACTACGTGGCCTAGCTAAGCCAAGTGAATCAAGTCAGACGCTAAGGCTAGGGTTAGCCATGACCCCTCCTTCATGCCTTAGCCACACGATCGCTGGAAAGGCGCATGACCTCTCCCCCGTCACGACCCCTAGAAGGAACGGGAAGAGGTCGAGCCCAGCCAAGCGTGCCTACTCTGATAAGAACAGGCACGCCACACTGACCCTGCAAGGACCGGTCAGACGCCATCCTTGTGCCATACCGCATAGACAAGACAATACCGCCCAAAGTGGTGACAATAGGTATGATGACCACCGGCCAGATACGGCCCGATGAGACGAGAGTACAATCATCCAAGCTGGTGGGAACCATGACCCCAACAATAGGGATCGTGGCCCCCCGCTACTCAAGACAACGAGGCGATCAACGACCTGGGGGCAGCCACCAACTCCTGTATGATGCCATAGGAAGCCAGGAGACGATGATGAAGACCACGGCGGGGACCACGTCGCACAGGATGGCTGGCGAACTACCATCATGCCTACAGTGCCGCCACAGTCGGCATAGTAGCACCACGCCACACCATGCCGTGATGTGGCCCTAAGGCCATAACGACAGCCACGCCCAGACGTACTCCACAAGACAGCGTAGCTTGCAAGCCAAGTTAGCTAGGCCCTCCCTCAGGCTCATGACCCTTTTGGTTAGGAGAACCTATTGCTTTGTATGTGCCCTAGCCCCAAACTCTATATAAGGGCAGCCAGGGCACCCATCTCGACATGATTCTAAATCCTCTATCATTTCATTCATTCCTCATAGTAGTAGGGCTCTGAAGCTTCCCTTCGGGTAGCCCACCGCCTAGTTTAGGTTCTTCTACCTCTTCCACTATTCTTGCACCCCCCATTGTAAAAACTTTAGAGCATTCAAGTGAGGAACACACACTCAATCATCTCTAAGACTAGACATAGGGCTCCGGTCTGAATCAGTATAAATCCTCATGTCCTTTGGATGCTACCATTGTCTTCCTAGAGCAGCGCGACAATCGTATAAATTTATTAGTCCAGTTTACAAAACACCGACATTTTGAGACCCAATTGAAGTCATTCCATACTGGTAACCTATCCTATGTGATCAGAGATCCCATGAAATAGGATGGCGAAACAAGCTAGTGGTTGACTGTGATGGAGAGACCCCTATAATTAGGTCTAAATTATTTGAGATGCACATTTCTCCTATGATGTAAGGCAGGTTGGTTAATTCTTTAATGTGATCTGAGTGGCTTATTTAAGAAGGGATGTTGTCCTATAGAACATCCTAGAAGGAACACACCTATATGAATTTGACTGCTAGTCACAGTCTATGAGATGTGGGTAGTCTCTAGATATTCATGAAAGGTCTCAAAGTGTGACTTATATGCTTTAACCTGAGGGATGCTTGTAGCAGCCTAGTACCAGAAAAGAACTTGGGTGAAACTCACTTCACGCAAAACTGTCAACTCAAGGCATAGTCCATTGTTCAGTTGCGACTGAGTGTAACCTCTGTTCTAAATGGATGTTCAACTTAACGGCCTCCGTTGAAACTCTGGTATATCAAAGAACAGTGGATTGGAGATTATTTAACATGTATCCTAGAATTTGGTGGGGATTGTCAGATTTAATGTGGGCCAGGCCCATATATTATCTAATTAAATCAAATAAACCTATTCTTTTAAGAAATCATTCGCTTGCATGGTATGCCTTCTACTATTGTTTCAGATCGCGATGCAAAATTCTTGAGTCACTTCTGGCGCACTTTGTGGAATAAATTGGGGACAAAGCTACTGTTTTCTACAACTTATCATCCCCAAACTGATGGGCAAAGTGAGGTAGTGAATCGCACATTATCCACCATGTTGAGAGCAATTTTGAAGCGCAATTTGAAGATATGGGAAGCGTGTTTGCCATACGTGGAGTTTGCATATAACAGAGCGGAACACTCTACAACCAAGGTAAGTCCCTTCCAGGTAGTGTATGGCTTTAACCCTCGAGCTTCTATTGATCTTTTGCCTTTACCTACCACTGAGAGAACACATAATGATGTTACAGAGCGTGCTGAGTTTATTCGAAAGTTACATGAAACAACAACAACAAATATTGAAAAGATGAATAAGAAGTATATAATTGCTGGTAGTGAAAGTAGAAAAGAAGTAAAACTTGAACCGGGTGATTTGGTTTGGTTACATTTGAGAAAAGATAGATTTCCAGAGCTGCGTAAGTCTAAATTAATGCCAAGAGCTGCTGGTCCTTATAAGTTAATTGAGAAAATAAATGATAATGCATACAAACTTGAGTTGCCACCCGAGTTCGGGGTTAGTCCCACTTTTAACCTTTCAGATTTGAAGCCTTACTCGGGAGAAGATGAACTTGAGTCGAGGATGACTCCATTTCAAGAGGGGGAGGATGATGAGGGCATCACTCTTTCGGATGCACCTGCTGATCCTCCAAACAATAAGCAAGGTCCAATGACCCGAGCTCGAATACGCCAGCTAAATTTAGAGGTGAGCTCTTTCTTAAGCGATCATTTTCATATTTTTAAGAATAGACTACTACCTAATGATGTTATATTTCTTAGAAACATTGGAAAGGGTCATGAGGAACTTGGAGGAAGAGATGGAGGCAAAGATGACCAGTAAGGACGTCCAACACAAGCCGGAGGGCCGGTCCAACATGCATTCGAGTCTGCCTCAGTCTTCAGGACCAGTTTGCCATAAACTGGTCACCTAGGACGCGTCTGGACTCCGTTTTCGACGATCCATATATGGATGGAAAGATAATTTCATAAGAAAACCAATGGAAGTGGTCCCACATCAAAATCCTTTTAGAATTAATGAGAATCGTCAAAATAAGTCATTGTCTAGAATCTGTCAGGGTGTTGCGTCACCGTATTTGGTCCAATGGGCCGTGTATCGTCTTTGAGCCCGTTAGAGGGGCGCGTCTAGGGTAGGCGATGACCCTAAGACCACTATAATCATACGCCGCAACCATCGTTAGGTTTTGAGTTTTGCTTAGATCATTCTATCATTGACAGTCACCGTCTATCAGTTTGTGGAACCTCAACTCGTGTGCTTAATCATTCATCTGCAGTTTGTCCCAAATCTTGAGCTGCGTTCTTTCGAGTTCTTGCTTGTGTTCTTCGTTTCGCAGGCAGGGATTAGCCTTCTTGGCGAGGTCAACCGGCTTGGTGACACGGTTGATAACCTGAGGAGTCGTGGTGCTAAGATTTGCGGGTTGGGTCTTTGGATCTAAAGCCGGATCGGTGTGTTGTGCTCCACCAAAACGAAAGTTATCATCATCTAACGGAAGATCGGAATCTCCGTTCCCATCATTTGGTTCCCCACATATGTGATCTTCGTGCTTTGCATCCTTGGTTCCCCACGTATGTGATCTTCGTGTTTTGCTTAGGTTCTGGAGCGGTAGTGCTAATTATTTGGGATGGGTTAATTAGATTCGGTTGCTGCTATTTTTAAGCTGCTGCATCTGCCGCCACTGTTTGTAGTGGTCATCCTAATGATCCTTTTTTTAATTTGATTGTTGTAGCTAGGTTACTCAATGTGAGGATAAGGAGCTGCGTTCAATTGGGGCTATGTGAATTCAACTAATTTTGTGGTATGTATTTGAACAGATGGCCACTTCAAAACTTGCACGGTTAAAAGAAACACTAGCTTTGTCTAATTTTCTTAATTTTTTTCAATCCACGTTACTGACCATATTTTATATCTTAATATGACATATGATTATAATGAATATTGCTTTAATATGAATTAGATTATGGAAAAGGAAAATGCTTAGTTTCTGCCTTGCTATATGTGGTATCTTTTTTGGTATATGGTTTCATGTGTTGATTACACCTTGAGCAGTTAGATCGTGATATCCACTAAAGCAAACTCTTCTTATTCAAATTAAGGTGAGCAGTTACTATATTCTTTCATGCCAAGGTTAATATATTTCTCTTATTGTTGCCTGGCAAAAATATTTGATCTTGTCCTTTTCTTGCATAGGATGTAAGCAGCTTGACCACCTTCGTACAAAAAGAATATGGGCGTCAAACCAGATGAAAAACAGCTTTCTGTTAGTGGCCACAATTGGGGAGGGATTGATATAGATGGTAATTTGGGTGACCTTTTATTATTGTAACATAACATATGTTGGGTTTGATTTTAATGTTTTTACCCTTGCCTCTATAGGAAACATGCTAACCTTTATGGTTGGTTCGAAGCAAGCATTTGAAGTGTCCATACCAGATGTTGCACAAACCCAGATGCAAGGAAAAACTGTTGCACAAACCCAGATGCAAGGAAAAACAGATGTTCTCATAGAGTTTCATGTTGATGATACTACTGGATCCAATGAGGTTTGTAGTGGACCATAGTTGGAGCAAATCCACTCATATTTTCTGCATTGCCATCAGTACTATATTGCTTGTGTTGTGTATTACTGTAATTACTTGATCATCATGTATACAACTTCAAGTACTGTGCTAACATTTTAATCCCTCATGGTTGTAGGAAAACTCCCTCATGGATTTAAGTTAGCCTGTGCCTACTTCGAATACTCAGTTTGTCGGGGATGAGAATCGCCCTCTGGCTCATGTAAGCTCACTCAATAAAAGCACTGTGTAAATGAAGCACATTGAAGCTGCAAAATACTAAGTAAGAAAATCTATCTATTTTCTGTAGATTTTACGTGAGACTATATTGAAATTTGCTGATGTTGGTTCTTCTGAGATGGAATTGCGATTCTTACACCAAGGTGGAAAAATATGAATCATTTACCGTATGAAAATACAAGATTGTTGTGCTTAAAAAACTAACGGTTCTCCTTTTGGCAATCTTGCCTTCAATGCTTTCTTAATACTTGTGCTATGCCTTCTCCAAATGTTCTTTGGATTTGAAGCTAAAACAAGAATTTAGGCTGAGCAAACACTTAAGTACTCTTTTGATATGTATCCTATCCAAATCTGCAGATACTTCACTATAACCTGGACAGTGAGAATTCCTTTAATATTTTCCACCCATCTACTGTTATCAAGGGCCTGCGCCACAGTGCGCTGCCTCCTTAACTCCATGTTCAGTATGCTCCATTATATATTTTCATAATTTGAGAAGAGGACTATTTTAATACCTCATACAATCCATATCGAGATAGTTGATCTAATTTACTAGGACTTATAATATTAAAATAGTTGTATATTGAGGAACTGAAGACTAATTATCCCAAATGTTTTTTTTGAGGTCAACTTCGGAGGGGGGGGGATCAAGAGTAATCCCCACCTGATTTTCATTTCCACTGATGCGGTGAACCGGGGGGTGGAGGGGCATAGCCCGTCAAGTTTCCAAATGTTTTTTCATGCTCATCCATGCAATTTATGATCTGAATTTGTTGGGCATTATGAGAGACAATATCGATTGGGATAAATCATAATGTTCTGCCTCTCTTTGCAGAGGACTAGACCATAATATTTTAGATACATTGGGGTTTTGGTGGGATGGTTATAGTATGTGCTGCTATAATTGTGCAAAAAAGATTGAACATTGATAGTTTGAATTTCTGTGCTCTCAAGTCAATACATGTTCTGATTTTAATTTTATACAAATTGCATACTTTTGGTGGGCAAAGGAGCCTTGTTAGTGTCGCCAATGCCAGCTACGGCGCAAGAAAAGTCTGTAGACATTATTGTGTTGAGAAGCTTCTCTCAAATGGTTGTTCAAGGTATTGATCTAATTGATTATGAAGACAGCATGCCAACTGCCACTGGAATATCCAAAAGTCTGACAGAATATGAAGATTCCAAATATGGAAAACATAGCACAAACTCAGCAACAAGGATGGAGCTATTCCTTTACTCTTCGAGGACTACATGCAAGGTGATAATGCAAAAAAATGTATTATCTTATTTAGAGTGCCGTGAACATTTCATTACTGACATGTTTTTTTTATATCTCAGCAGCTAAAAATAGTGAACCTATCTGCTCTAAATATATTTTGTCCCTTTGCATGGTTAGAAAGAGCAGAGTAACTAGATTTCTATTATTAAGCTAGACTGCTAGAGTACAAAATGCATTCAGCTTATCAAACTCTTGTAATAGCAAAGGGCATGCCCTTCTTGGATTTAATCAAACTGTTGTTATTCAAAATATCTAAATTCTTGTTTGCCTCCTTTCTCTTCATGAATAGATGGATTCCATCTTATGTGGTTTCTCTGCAAGAACGAAACCATGGCTTGCCAAATCTTTGGCTTGGCATATTTTGGAAGCGAACCAAGCAGAGTTTTAGCAGAGTAAATAATTTTGTCGATGCACTGGCTCTGCTAATGATGTATTGTTAAATTTTGAACTCTCTTACTCTGCTCCATACACTCTCATTTGGAGCAACAGTTTCTGAAATGCTTGCAAGGAAATAACATACTAAGAACCTTGCAGCATGATTACGATTAGTCACCTATTTTTTTCTTAGTCAAGAAAATCTCATGTATCTTGATTAATGATTTTAGTACATATATAACCCAGCAGGCACAAGGACCTGTACATGCTTCCCATTTGCCGAAGAAATTTCTGGGTCAATTTCCATGTGTTCGTGCTTGAGATCATGTAGTGTCACGGCAGAAGCTCAAGGGTGGAGACTGAACGAGATTTTGTTCCGACTTTTGTGCATCCACCAAAAAAAAAGAGGAAATCATGTGCAAAATACATGGATCGTAACCATGTCTTCCTATTTCATAGGGTGCGCAAAATACATGGAACATAACCATGTCTCTCGATGACTCCTGCATATTAAGTTGTTGCTCTTCAGTTCGTTAGTCAGTTTGGAAGAGCTTTCTTTTTTAATTCTTAAGCTTTACTTATTGAAAATTCTCTCAGTTGGTTACAAAATATTCTTATAGCCACGTGCGTGCCGCACGTGCATTTATACTAGTATAGATAAACAAACTCTTGAATATGTAACTGTCGTCCCGGCATTCACGTAGTAAGAAATTACTTAAGACACTCGCCGGCAGTAGAACATAGATAAGGACCCTACGCATCGGCGGCCCGGGCGTGGAGCTCCTGGTCAGTGGCGAGCGTGCGTTGTATTGCATGCACGGTGGCTTCAGAGTGGGTGGCTATCGGGCGGTGTGGCCACGCACCGCGCAGTCTGCCGCAAGTGCATGGTGCGTCTCCGCTTCTTGTACCGTGACAAACGTTGCTGCGTCTGTAGAACCCGTTGCCCTAAAGAGAACAAAAAAGAGAGCAGTGTGGGCAAAACTTCACTTTTACTGTATTGCGTAGAGGAAAAGAGCATACATAATGAGAGAGTAGTCATCTATGATCACTAAATACAACTTGTACCCAGAATTGCTAACAACAGGAGAGGTCCACATACACCACACGTCTCTGAATGTAAAAGTCGAAAAGGGAAATAGCCGCACATTTCTGTGAATTGGAAGAGGAAAAAGGAAGCCAAACATGCTTGCCAAGTTGACGTGCATGACGGAGCTTATTTTATTATAGCTGAAAGCATGAAATCAAAGGTGAGCAGAGTAGCCGCCAATGCAGAACGTCCAGGGTGCCCAAGCCCCTGATGCCAGAGGTCGACCAACTCCGCAGACGTGTGGAGAGCCTAGTGCAACTGCAGCCATAGTGGATAGAGTTGCCCAGAGTTGTTACATCGGAGCCTCTCATGACGAATCTGAAGATCCTTATATACTTGGGGGGGAAAACAAGGGGATCAAACACTATGCCAGATTTTCACATTAGTGACGCGGCTAGACAGTCATTAGTGACGCAGAAAACACGCGTCACTTACATTACATCTGTGATGTGGTGACATTAGTGACGCGTAAAAACGCGTCACTGATGAGCCTTTACAGTGACGCGTCCAGACAAAGCGCGACACTGATGAGCCTTTATGAGTGACCCGTCCAGACAAAACGCGACACTGATGAGCCTTTATGAGTGACCCGTTCAGCATATACGTGTCACTAATAACTCTTTAACAGTGACACGTACTGAGAAAACGCGTCTCTAATAACGGTTACAGAAAACAAAAAAAAAAAGAAAAAGCTTAGATCTCTGTTTTATATACAGAAAAATAGCAAACAAATCCACACTTTTTCAAACAAGATCCAATCATTCAATACAAAATTCACAATTTCAATTCCATCCAAATAGGCCAATAGGGTTGCAAAAAAAGACTACACTGTGCTAGGGCTGTAGAGAAATCTAAGTTTAGAGTTTTGCAGACTACTGCCATGCCGCTGTGAAGATGCCAACGTCCTTGCCGGAGTCCTAGTAGCCCACCATCTCATAGCAAATTTGGATCTGCCACAATTACAAACTATCAGTAGTATCCATGCAGGACAATTTTGATCAATATTAACATATTCACAAATCACTACTGTGTAAAGTTCATAATATGTGTCATCAAGCAGGTCCTAGCCATTAATAACTCTTCCAAGTTCTAGAATAGACATCAGTTGAAGTTTCTGGCAACCTCTTTCACCGTAGCTTGCGAACTGTTCCCAGAGACAACTACAAATAGTAAGTTAAAAATTCCAGCTACCTGGCAGAGCATCATCTAGCTATATGTAAAATTGTAGTCTACCTGAGATATAGCACGATCCATCATATTAACATTTAAACAATGACACTACCAGGTCAAATTTTTCATACCTCAAATTTTCTCAGCTCTGAAAACACGAGGTCAAGGTGATCTCAAGTTCCTGTGCCAGTGAGAGCAGAAAATGGCAGAGGAGAAAACCTAGCAGGAACCAACAGAAAGATGAGCTGAGCAGCTTGGCTGATTGTTGGGCAGTAAAAGAAAAGGCAAACCAACAGAAAAGGCAGGACACCAGAGGTTATCAACCAGCTGCCCTAACCTACTACTACAGAGTTTAAGTTTCTCGACAAGTCAAACAATCCCAAACTTGAGACTGTGGGTGCTGCAAAACATTAATACCTACCTACTACTACAGAGCAACAAGAGAGCAGCTCTACCAAATGAACTCATCGTCCAACCAAACACAAACAAAAATGCAACCACAACAACCATTACTGAAACTGAAAGTAGCAACACAATTGAACATCATTAGTCACTCACAATACTGGCATGGAAGTAGTCACTCAAGATACCTGAGCATGGATGACCATCTCCCCACAGACAGCATACTCGCATTTTAAGACCTGTAATAGTTATCAGTGTATTAGCTAGGCATGACAAGATGCATTTGCTATACAAGCGAGAGAGAAAACATCCGCACGGCCATTTATCTAGCTGTGAAATTAATGGGTTAGCCTTGTGTCTAGCTGTGAATCAAGGACTAACAGACCTATGCCCAAAATACAGGCAATTGAGAGTCATGCAGCCAAATAATAGTCAAAACTGGAAACATGCTTTATGAACAAAAGTGTTTGTCTGATGTCGCTACTTGCTACACTACCTGTATAAGGGAGAGAGAACTTGGCAATAGCACTTCCATCTAGTAGAAGACCATTTCTGGGTGGCTGTCCTCGCCACCGCCACCACCGATATGTTTCAGGGACTGCAAACAGAAGAAAGAGTCGTTACCTCTATGGTTAACCAGAGCTAAGTTAGATAAGAAGTCCTGACTTATGCCTTGCTGTACAATATATGTTTCATGCATGTTTGAAATACACAACATATATATAGAAAAATGTAATAGATAAGCAAGTAGGAAATATTTGGGACATATTTCACAACCTGAACGGATTGCAAGATCCAAGAAAAGTTTATTTCATTAGAGTCCATGACTATAACACAACTTGGG